ATGATAACTTAGCAATCGATTGAATATATGATTTCCATGAAAGGTAAGTAGAAAGCGAATATCCAAGAAACATAAAGAAGAGGACTCAGTGAGATGTTTATTATCAATATAGGAATGTCAACAATATTGCAATAGTTGTTTACAGTAAATAACTGAGTTTTGTTGGAGTTAAAATTTACAAGACACTGTGAGCCCCAATCTGTTACAGAAACAAGATCAGATTCAAGATTGGCTGTCTGTTCTAAGCAATCCAAGAGAGAAGACTTTATGTCAAGACAGGAGTATAAAGTTGAAAAAATATATTTGAAAAATCATCGGCAAAAAGAGCTACTTCAGATGTAAGGTTGTCAGAAAGATCATAAATGTAGATAAGAAACAACACAGGACCAAGGATAGAATCATGAGGTACTCCAGAAGTTAATGGAAATGAAGATGAGTGTTAGTCTTTGAGAATGGCTTTAACAAAGTGGGTAGAAAGACACAATTTGATAATCTCTAAAGCCCTAGCCTCATCGCCTCCATCTAATGCAGTTAGCAAGTCAGGCATAGAGCAAGAGGATCAAAAACTATTGATTGACAGTAAGTTATTTGACTCAAGATGAGAAATGAGAAATTTATTGGTCAAAGACTAAAAGATCTTGATAATAGCAGAAAGAAGACTAATAGAACAATAATTGGAGGGGTCAGAATGTTTTCCGGAGTTTGAAAAATGGAACAACAGATGCCCTATTTTAGCAAGCAGGAAAACAAGACTCAGTCAAACACTTATTAAATAGTTTAAAGAGATTTGAAGAGAGTTCTGGAGAATACTTTTGTAAGACTACAAAAGGAATGTTGTCTGGACCACAAGCCCTACAAGAGTTTAATTGAGATACAACTTTAGGCAACGAAAGCTGGAGTGATTTTAATGTATAACAATGGGTTAATTGAAATGGAAGGAAGAAAATGGTCATAAGATTAAAAAGTGGAATAAGAACAATAGTACTTTGCAAATAGTTCTGTCAATAATAATAAAAAGATCAGTCCCGTGTAATAGTCAATAGTAATAAGATCAGAATATAAGACCTACTCCTGTTAATGATGCTGTTGAAGGTTTTCCGAAAGTCTTTAAAGCCTAATTTCTGAGATAAGATACAAGATTTAGTAAACTTTTACATTGATATCTTTCGAATATATATATATATATATATATATATATATATATATATATATATATATATATATATATATTATATATATATATATATATATATATATATATATATATATATATATATATATATATCAGGCCTTGCGATAAAGCGTCGGGCGATGTGAATTTTACGTCGTCCAAGGGCGATTTTGCGTGTAGCTAGGGCTATTTGCGTCGAGCAAAAAATTTTTTGTTTGAGTATATTTAAAGATATTTTTGAGCGGAATTTTAATGAAGTAATTTACGATTATTTTAACATTTAATAAAGTATTTTAAAAACCGCACGCTGTTGAAATAAAAGTTTGAATTTAAAAAAATTAAATATGCTCATTATTTACAAGTAGAAAAAATTCAAAAATTAAAAAAAAAGTTTAAATCTGTTAAGCTAACATTTTAATAAAATTATTCAGCAATAGCAACGTTGTCGATAAAATTGAACAAAAATACTTTCTTTTAGTTTTAGATTTTAGACTTAAATATTTATTTTACAGGGGTTTGATAGGTTTTAAAATTATTCCATAGATTTAAAAATATTTATTAACTGTTAGACGTATTTAAAGTATTTAAGAGTGATTTCGAGGAAACATTTTAAAAATTGGTGAGGGCAAATAAAAAAAAAAAAAGATTAATATCAAAACGTATTCTACTTGATTCAATAAAAAAGTACAGTTATTAAAATTTTTGTAAAAAGTAACTCAAAAAAATTACTTAAATAATAACGATCGCTTTTATGTTAAAAGTGACCGAAACTCATCGAAGCGTGCTCAAGAACAGCTGCTGAAAAATAGAACGTCAATAGTTTTTCGAATAATTTTTAAGAATAATTTTTAAGAATAATTTTTTCGCTGAAATATTTCTTTTATACATATAAGATTTTTATTCTAACATTTTATTTTATTTTAATAGAAATAAAATTCCTTGTTAACATTAAAAATCTATTCAAAACGTTCGTTTAAGTTTTTTATTAATACGAGTGATTGTGCTTATCAACCGCTTTATGAAAATAAATAAAAATAAATAAATAAATATTATATAAAATCGCTTGTAAAAATATTAGCTATTGCACAGTTTTTAATCGTACAATATTAAAATTTCCAGTTTATTACTCGCTGACTTTTTAAAAAGAAAAAATAATTATTTGAAAAACTTTAAATTACATATTTAAGAAAAAAAAAATCAAATATTAGCATATTTTATAATCTTTTTTAAATTTAAGTTATAATGTTTTTTATTCGTTTAGTATAGACAAAACGTGACAAACGTCGAGAAAATAAACAAATGTTTTTACATTTTAAAAAACGAAACATTCCAAAACATTTTTAAATAATAACATTTCTACATAAACGATTTAAAGCAGTTTTGCGGTAATTAAATAAATTGGTGCAGTTAATGTCGATAAATATGAAAAGCAAATAAAAAGAATTTAATGACGTCAAAAATCGCGTCGTGCTTATGCGTCGCGCAGTTCTTATTCATCGCAAGGCCTGTATATATATATATATATATATATATATATATATATATATATATATATATATATATATATATATATATATATATATATATATATATATATATATATCACAAAGTTGTAAAATTAAAGAACAAAAAAAAAAAAAAAAAAAAAAAAAAATATATATATATATATATATATATATTCTTATCTCATAGTTGAAAGAGACTTTAATGGTAAAAAAAAAGTCTCTTTTAACAACAATTACACGACTTCAACAATTAAGCTACATTTTATTGTCGTCGAAAAGTCAAAGCAATTAAATTAATGCGGAAGTTTTAAGTTTTATCATTTTTTAAAAATACATACATCAACTGAGGGTTTGGTTTAGGCAAGCAAATTATTATTTAAGAAAAAAAAAAATTTTTTAATTTTATAAACCTTTTTCTGGTCTGGTTTATTAGAGCTCTATTTAAAACTACATTTTATGGAAGAAACTTTTTGACTACCATGCAAGACTCCTCAAAGTAGCCTCCTCAGTAATGGGGAGGTAAAGAAAAATAACTTGATAAATAAATAATTTAAAAATATTATGATTGATAAATGATTTTTAAAATGATATAAACGTTTTTCTTAAAATATATTTAGTTTATATACAAATAAACCATTTAAAATAACTCGAATAGTGATAAAAACAGTAATAAATATATTGCAGAAACAATAAAATATATTGCAGAAAAAAACAATAAACAAAATTATATCAGTATTATACTTACTTGCATATCTAAATCTGTGCTCTTCAGATCAAAGTTGCAATCAATGACATTTAATCCAACTAATAAACCACTAATTACTAGCATTTCATCAGACAGTATCATGCTGTAATCCTCATACCATTCACTGAAAATTTAAAAAGTTATTCCAGACAACTACAATTAGGATAACTAGAGAACAATCATATATAATAATATAAAAATAATTATAAAATGTATATAGATAATCAAACAATTAATATAAAACACATTGGCATAATTACAGGGTGTAATTTAATGGACGGACATCGCCACCCCTCGGACCATTCTTAAGACTTGCTAGAGGAGGGTTTTTGATTTTTTCATTAAAAATGAACAATGGTTGGTTGCCCCCATAAATCAGATCTCAAAAACAATCTGGGGAGCGGTGAAGTCCGACCATTAAATTGAGCCCTGTAATTACAATAGTTAATATAAAACACATTTGCATAATTATAGTTTATAAGTTATGCTATGCCAATTAACAGTTTATGATAACAATATTTCTATAACATTTATATAATAACTTATATGAATATCAATTGTTAAATTATAACAGCTTATAAACATAGCATAAAAATAATTATTAATTAATTAGCATAAAATATTATTAAAATAAATAAGGCATAATAAATCATATGAAAGGGGCACTGATCCAACTTTTTCTCTCCAGGATAGCTAATAATTTTTCACCCTCATATCAGAGCCATTTGACATGTTAGAGGGGTGTTAATTTCAGCACTTAAATGTGTATAAACTGACTTTTTTTGCTAATTTTTTTCCAAACAGTTTTTTGGAAAAAAGAGTGAGAGAGACAATAAAACCATAATTTATAAACTAATTAAAAAAATAAATAATTATATGACTATTCTTTTAACATTCTTCTTCATTAAATATTTTCAATTGTTTTTTTGAAAATGTGAAACTAACCTTAAAATGGGTCTTTCTTCAACAATTCTGCTTAATTGTTCAGCAAAAACTTTTTGCATCAAAGCAAATCGAATCCAAGCACGTGTTCTTCCTAAGTTAGATCTATAAATAAATCATTTATTTTTAAATTTATTATTGTTAAAGCTCAATTTAAAACTCAATTATTAAAAAAATATTATTAGGCAAAGCCATAAATTTATATATTTAGTATATCACAAACAATTTACCATTAAATAAATATTTTCTCTGAAAAAATTTAATAGCTTCTTTTTTGTTTTCTTTAATAAAAAAAACTTTTTATTTTCAACAATACAATTTTTAAAATGGAAACTTTCTCTAAAAAAATTAAAAAGTGCACAAATATTACTTTAAGCGTATGCTTGATAGTATTAGAGTTGATGTTTTTCCAGTTTACAAGCACGTCAGTTTACATTTTTACAACTTTAAAATTATTTAAAACCCATAACAGTTTATGAGCCAATTAATGTTTTTTTAGCTTTGTATCTGAGTCATTATCCACTAATTTCACGCATATAGCAGTTCTAATATTTTTTTCAACATAAGTATTAGTAAAGGAATAAATCTTAAAAACTACTGACCTAGTGTAAAAAGTTTTCCTTTTTTAATGAGCATCTTCTGATACAATTAAGCATTTTATTTTAGATCAAAAGAACTTGATAAAACATAAATTTGAACTAAACTAATGTATATAAACTTGAATAATAAATATATAAAAAGAAAACATGAAAGAATGAAAAAGCGCGATACATTTAATTTGTTTTCAATGAACAAACATTTTTTCAAAATGTGTTATTCTGTGATTGCTTAATGTATTTATTTAAAAATTAGTCGATTTTATGTATTTTTTCATATTTCAAATAAAAAAAAGAAAGATAAATATGTATTGTGCACATATAATTATAAAAACTTTTGATGTTATAAAACCAATTTTAAAAATAAAATAGTAGGAAAGTAGACTAGTAGTAGAACTTTCTGCTCACAAGAGGTTTAAAGTTCAAATCAACTCTACACTTCTTGAGGCATGAAGCTAAACTTGTTTATTCATGCAATTTAACAATGTTAAAAAGCTTGTAACAATGTTGTAACAGCTTGTTTAACAATGCTACTGTTGTGTTTCAAAGCTTATAGTTGAGAGAGAGTTTTAAAATAAAACATAGCTTCTTATTATTTTCTTTCATCTAAACAAATTTGTTTTTTATTCATTTTATTTGTTTTTGTTTAGTTGTCCATATAAAAAAAGCAGATTAAATTTAAAACTTTATTGGACAAATTTTATAAAAAGGAGTAAGAACCAGAATTAAAAAATAAATAAAAAAAAGGATAAAAAAAAAAGATATAAAATATATATGTATTTTTTTTTGTTCATTTATATCTATTTATTTGATTATATTATCAACTCTCTCTCAACCTTCAAAACACAATAAATGACAAACACAGCTGCTATTCACAAAAATAAGTTAAAGTGCACTACTTCAAGAAATTCAATTTTTAGTACTAGCCTTTTACTACTGCATGAATATGATTGTTGGACAACACCCCCTCCTCTATATTACTTTTATCATTTCTAAAAAAAACTTACTTCACATTTGACAAATTTTTTATATTCAATAAAATATCTTGCAAGAAAGGAATCTTGTTTTCTAAAACTTCAAGAACTGAGATGAATTCTTTACGCCCACCAAGCAATGATCTTTTAGCTTTGAACAACATATAAATAGATAATAGTAAGAAACAATAAAAAAATAAAAATAACAAGTAAACAACAAATATTTATCTAATAAGTAAAATATTAAAATAAAATTATGCAACAGATTTAGTAAACATAACATATAACATATGCTCTATATTTCTTTTTGTGTTTATATATGAAGACCACAGTGGTATAAAAGCAAAATGAGGATACTTTGAAGAACCATAATGAGAATACTTTGAAGAACAAAAAACTTTAGTTAATACTGAAAGATTTTTTGTAATGCTATTTTGTTTAAAGATTATTTTATTGTAAACAATATGAGTAATTAAAAATTATCCACCAAAATCCATGTTTTAAAAATATATATGTATATAAAATATATTGCATGATCTTCAAAATATCTCCTATTTTGCTAAATGTTTAATTATTTTTTTGTAAACAATATAAACCAACACAAATGATGAGAAAATTTTTTTTATTTTTTGTATATTTTTATTATATCAAGTGAGCCCAAATTTTTGACCGGAAGTATATATTAGGGTACATCAAACACCACATGATTTTTTATGCATCATGATTTTTAAAAATTTGTTTAAATCACTTTTACCCATTTTATCTTTTTTTTTCTAATAATAAAAAAAAATTTATGGCAAAGTTTTAGAAGAATTAGAAGAATTTTAGGGGTTCCACTAGTTTTGAACTTTTACTATTTAAAAATGGTTTATGTCAACTGCAATAACATCATTGAGCTATATAACAACACATTAGATCCAGTTGTGCAGATCTATCTTGCTTAACTACTTGCAGAATGTTCTAATAATATTTTTCTCCCTTTGAAAAAGCCAGAAAGTGTGCACTGAGTTTAAAGCACTCAGCACAGTCATTGACAATGTTAATGACATTCAGGTTGACTAATGATACATTAAATGAGGCTAAGTTCTACCAATTACAAACATCATCATACATCAACAGGCTTGAACAAGTATAAGGTGCTATTGCACGCTGTAACTGTCCATACTTAAAAATTTTTTCTTTGCTATTGGGCCATAGCTGTTTCACAGATGTGAAAGACATCCAACAGGAACTATAGATAAGTATCACAAAATTAAGAAAGTGACAGGCAGTTCAAATGTTAGATCTGGTACAATGTTACCTGTGTTTTGATCTGTGACAAGATATGCGGGAATGCCAAGAAGTTTGAGCTCATTTGCATTTCCAACCACTACTGTAAGTTGCTCTTTGAAAATATTTTTTTTATAGTAAAGGGAGTAACTTAGAGCCCCAGTGTATTGTGAGCAGCTTTAGAACAACCGACTTATCTCTGTAGTTTGTAGTGATATTTTTTGCAACTGGATAATGGGATTTATCAGTAGTTGAATACGATGCAGAGACCTTGAGTGAGTCTCCTTCACCAACTGCAATAAGCACAGCAATGTATGCAGCTTATTGTGTGGGAGTCATCTTCAGTCTTGTTGCAACAGAAACAAGCTTAGACATTTGTAGAATGTCATAAGGAATGACATTATCAATTTAACAGTCGGGCTAAACCATGATTACTTTCCTTTTTTTCAATTCATCTTTCACAAGGCCAAGAAGGCAACTACAGTTTTGATGTGCCATATTAACAATACAAGACTTGCATTGATGTTGGCAGCTGAGAATTGGTTATTTTAGCATTAAGCTCAGTCATGCTATTGCCAAAACCAAATATTGCAGACAACAGTCTTGTCTTTTTTGGCACCTTTGCTATAACAGGCCCTAATATATCTTTAATAACAGAGATTACAGAAGCAGACATTTTCTGGAATTGAAATACAAGATTATTAGCATGAGTTAAACTTTACATGTTAGTTCAGTCTAGCGTGTGTTAGCACTAAGTTCAAAAATGCAAGTATTTGTGATAACTCTCTTTCCATTCAATTTATAAATTATAATAAGTTGACAACAAAAATCATAAACAAACCACATGGCAATAACCATAAGAATTTAAAAATTTGTTGAAAATTTTAAAAAAATGTTAAACAAAATATTTCAGAAATATAAGATGGCAATTAATATAAACAAACAAAAAATAGATACTAACATAGAAATCAGCTAATTCATTTAGGATAAAAGATATTTCAAGCTTAGGAATTTTTAGCATGCAAAAACTCCATGGTATTAAGCCCCATTGTAACATTTTTTAGATTTGTTGTGGAATAAAATGAGTTACATATATATATATATATATATATATATATATATATATATATATATATATATATATATATATATATATATATATATATATATATATATATATATATATATATATATATATATATATATATATATATATATATATATATATATATATATATATATATATATATATATATAGGCTTGGTCTCTCGATTGCTGACGTAAATAATATTTAGTTGCGAAAAGCTGGCCAGACTTTTTAGTCGTTTTGAGAACGTTTTAAAAAACAAACAAAAAAAGCGCAAAGATAAATTGGACCGATGAGAAACAATTACAAAAAAAAAAAAAAATTAGGCAAATAAAATATCTTTAAACGCAAAAAAACTTAAAGATAAATAAATTACGTTTAGAACAAATATTTTTTAAACATCGCTCTTTTATAATTTTTTTCAAAAAATTAAGAGATGTTTTTTATATAAGGTAACATCTTACGATTGTTTAAAATGGAAACAAATATTCTTTATTTAACAAAGTTTGCAAGTTTTAGTTTTATTTAAGCTGAATTATTTTATAAATAAAAAAAGTTAATTTTTTTAATACCTATTTTATGTTTCGCGTATTTTGAAAAGTTTAACATATTTGAAGCAATTCTTCTTAGTAAGATAAACAAATGAAATAATTAAATAATTGAATTACTACAGAAATTAAATTAACAAGATAGAAATCAACTTAAAAGGTTAAAAATACTTTATGACAAGGAAGCGAAACTGCTTCACAATATCGTTGATGATGTTCAGTGAGTGGGCTTTTTAATTTTAATTAGTATTTAAAGCAGAAAAAAGTATAACAAGTTTTAAGAATGGCAACTTAAGCGAAAATAATTAGAGTTAGTAAACCAATATCTAGAAACTTTACTTTATATCTAGTTATTTACTATATATATTTGTGTTCTGTCGTGACCTCAGGCGCGGTGCTTGTTTATCCGCGGGTTACTTTGTATGCGTTGTTTGTGTTTAGTGACCAGAAACATCTTATATGTTTGTTACATAATTAGTTTTATTAACTTTAATGATTATAACTTCATTAAAAACGCAATTATTTTTGTAAGTCTTTGTTTAAATCATAGAAATTGCTTTAAAAGATACATTACGATAAAAAACAGATACACAAAATTACATTTACATAAAGAATACATACATTTTAAATAAAAAATAAGAATATACTAATAAAGTCTATAATTTATAATAAACTTTTAAAATTTTGACAACTTAATTGATATATATTTAAAACATTTATTTTTTTAAACAAACAATATTAATTCTGAAAACAATTTACGCTAGAAATTGTTTTAAGAATTAATAAAACGAATTAATAAAACAAACCATGAATAATACAATTTCTAAAACATTTCAACACAATACTCTAGAACTTTACTTTATATTTTTTGAACCAATAGAATTGGTTTGTTCATTAATTTGTTGGGTTTTTAGTGTTCGCGAATATTCTTTTTCTTCTTTCGTACCAAGATGTTTTAAGAATATTAAAGTTTTTTATGTTTCCATGTATGTCCCTTAAACAAAAATTTTTTGTTTTGTACATAAACTTAAATGTTCTCAAAACGACTAAAAAACCTGGCCAGTTTTTCGCAACTAAATATAATTTCCGTGGTCAGTATTCGAGAGCAATCGCTTGTAAATATATATGTAAATATATATATATGTATACATATATATATATATATATATATACATATATTTTTATATACACACACATACACACATATATATATATATATATATATATATATATATATATATATATATATATATATATATATATATATATATATATATCAATGCTGCACAGACATGGTTGCCTTATGGCACCAAAAAACTGATTTTTTTTTAAGGCCAACTAAAAAAATCATTTTAAAGCAGTTGTCTTGCACAAAAGCGCAACTCGTTTGCATTAAGTCACTTTTATTAAATTAGAAAATTAAATTACAAATTAAATTAGTAAATTAATAAATAAATAATAATAAAATGCTAAAGCAAAAACATTAGAAAATATAAGTCAGGTAACTTTATACTTAAATTAATTGTTGTTGCATTGTGTAATTGCTGTTGTGTTGTGTAAAAAATGTTTGAGTTTCTATCAGTATTGGAATAACAAGATTTTTCATTTTATAACGAATTGACAACAATTCGTTATAAAATGAATCTTAATGCTAAAAAATTATTTTAAAAATAAATTTGAAAGCTAAAATATTATTACAAAAATGAAATTAAAAGCTGAAATAAAATCTCAAAAAAAAAATCTTTATCTATATATAATAGCAAATCAAAGTAAAAAATTATTAAAAATTTTTTTTTAATAGTTTTTAATATACAATTAACTTTTTTTTTAATAAAGTGCTTTAAATTCTATTATAAAAACTTTATAGTAAAACTTTAAATTACAATTTAATAAAATTTAACTTTAAAAGTAAATTTTTAAAAATATTTGCATTAGCAACATATTGTCTACTTTGTTTTTATGGCATATAAATCTTTTTATAACATACAGGTTATCCCATGAATGAACTTTCAGAAATTATTTTTCAACTACAAAGGAGGGTTTATCTTAGAATAAAAAGATTGTTTTTGGAAGCGTTAAATCAACTTGTTTCTGTTGAGTATGGTTTTTGTTATATAGTTCCTGGTTTAAATTATTTTTTCATTTATATTTATAAATCAATTTTAAAATATGTTTTATTGAAATTAGTAATTTATTTAAAAGTTGATTCTACATTAAATGTACACGCTTGCAAAAAATGTGCAATACTCAAATTGTTGCACTATTGATACAAAAAAAAAAAAAAAAAAGAAAAAAGAAAAAAAAAAAAACTATTAAAAAGTTACTCTTTTAAGTGTATTTAGAGTACACTTAAAAATTACTGAAAAGTGTATAGATTAAATTGAAATCAATAAATCTTATATTTTAAGGTCTCAGTGTATGACAGTGAAAAACATAGTTTGAAATATGTTCTCATTTTTTGAAATGAAGTTAAAGAAATTTAAAATAAAACTATTGTTTTGTTTGAATTATGAGAAAAAATCTTTATTTTCATTATTGTTATTTTCCAACAACAAGTATATTATAAGTTCAGTTAATTCAAAGTTATTAATTTTTTTTTTTTTTTTTTTTTTTTAACATCTTCACTTCCAACAAGGCTGCAAGCAACCACTATAAGAGTTGGAAGTTACTGGAAGAGAAAAGACTAAATCTGTAGAGCAAGATAACGATTGACTGATGACTTAAAAGATTGCAAATTATATGAATCAGGAAAGCAAGATGAAGGAAGCGAATTCCAAAGAACTGATGTTCGAGGAAAAAAAATAGAAGAATAAGAGTTTTTGAAGCACTTAGGAACAGTCACAGAAAAAGGATGAGACTTTATTGAATGGCGAGTAACACGAGAATGAATTTTAGTAGATGGCACAAGGAACGCTAGCTCCTTAGAGCAGTGCCCATTATAGTATATTTGTAGAAAAGAGAAAGAGAAGCAACATTACGACGATGTGACAAAGGTTGGAGATTGGCTGCCAGAGCAGGTCCAACTATGTTTACAATTCGTTATTGCACCTTGTCTAAAAGAGAAAGAGCATCATTAGAAGATCCGCCCCAGATGTGGCAACAGTATTCCATACAGGGACGGATTTGAGATTTATAGAGATAGAGAATAGAATCTGGAGTAAGAAAGTGTCGAGCTCGATAAAGAGATGCAACCTTAGCAGATGCTAATTTTGCAATGGATTTGATATACGGTTTAAAAGAAAGATCAGAAGTAAGAGTTAATCCTAGAAGATGAATGGTAGATGACTCATCTAGTACATTACCATTCATAAATATAGGAAGATCTAAATTATTACGATAACGATTGGCCGAATAAAATTGAGTTTTATCTGAATTAAAGTAAACAGCCACTGTGAGCCCCATGCTGTAGCAGAAGTGAGATATTTTTCAAGCTCAGATACCCCCTCCAAGCGATCAGAGAGTGTAGGCTTCTTATCATGACAAGAGTAAATGGTAGTGTCGTTAGCGAATAATGCCACCTTAGATGTGAGAATATCTAAAAGATCGTTAATGTAAATTAAAAAGAGTATAGGGCCAAGGATTGAACCTTGAGGAACCCCTGAAGTTACAGGATGTGAAGAAGAGTGTTGTCCATCGAGGACAACTTTTATACTACGATTGGAAAGAAAGGACTCAATAATCTTAAAGACGTTACCAGCTATACCATAAGAAGAAAGCTTATGGAGAAGACCAGCATGCCAAACTTTATCAAAAGCTTTAGAAATGTCAAGTGCGATAGCCTTAACCTCTCCACCTCTATCTAATGCACGGTAAAACCTATCGGTTATTACTGTTAGCACATCAGCTGTAGAACGAGAAGACCGAAATCCATATTGATGATCAGAAAGTAAGTAATTTGATTCAAGATGAGAGATTAAGTGTTTGTTGATTAAAGATTCAAAAACCTTGCTTATGACAGGAAGAAGACTAATGGGACGGTAGTTAGATGAATCAGATCGCTCACCGGAATTTTTGAAAATAGGGATAACAGATGCTGCTTTCCAGCATGATGGAAAACAAGACTCTGGTAAGCACTTGTTAAATAGTTTAGAAAGTATGGATGAAAGCTCCAGAGAACACCTCTGCAAGACTACGACAGGAATGTTGTCAGGACCACAAGCTGTTGAAGAGTCTAAGCAGGAAATTACTTTAGATACAGAAGCTGAAGTGATGCGAATGTCAAGCAAGGGATCAACCTGTTTGACGGCTATGTCAGGTAAAACGCAACTAGTGGAATCAAGAGATGATATTGATGAAAAGTTCTTAGCAAACAATTCAGCTTTGTCTTTAGGTGAGGTGACAAAGTCTGAACCATACAAGAGAGAAGGAATAACAGATTTGCCCTTATAAATGATACTGTTAAAGATTCCCCAGAAGTCTCGAGAGCCTAATTTTTGTGATGAGATACAAGATTTAATGACCTGGGAATAGCGAGCTTTGGCGTCAGACAAAACCTTTTTACAATGGTTTCTGGCGATAGTGAACAGATGTCTGTTTTCTGGAGAATTGTTTTGCTGATAGATATGGAAGTAACGGTTTCGATTAGAAATTGCTGCAGCGCAATGTGAGGAAAACCAAGGAGAAGAGTGAGGCTTGACCTGGAATCGTCGAGAGGGAATAAAAGATTCCATGCCAGCCTGAATCCACGAAGTTATGTAAGAAGCACATTTGTCAGCAGGAAGACGAAAGATTTCTACCCAAGAGCCATCACGAAGAAAATCACGGAAAGAGTCCCAGTCAGCTTTAAGGTAGTTGTATGTGGTACGATGATAGGGGGATTCTGATGAAGTTGAAGAATTTGATAATAGTTTTAGAGAGATCAAACCGTGATCAGAAGTACCTAAGGGTGAATGTGGAGAAATTGAGCACTGACTAGGATCCAAAACAAGACATAAGTCGAGTAGAGAAGGTAAATGATTAGGGTTGTCTGGAAAACGAGTTGAAAAGTTGACTATTTGAGTTAGAGATTGAGAAAGGCAAAAGTTGAGGGCCTTAACGCCAGCAGAGTCACTGACACTAGAGCCAAGCCAATCGGTGTGATGGGCATTAAAGTCACCAACAACGACGATATTGGCCGATGGATAAAGAGAGAGGGCTTGGTCAATTTGATCAGAAATAACATCAAGAATAGTGCAATCTTGGGATGAAGGAGAGCGATATAGAACAAAGAGAAAGGCGATAGAGTGAAGTTGTGCTAAACGAAAGCACATAAATGAATAGTCTGTAGATTCAAACCTAGTTTCACAACAAATGGGTGAGTTCTTACGAATGTAGATGCCCAGGCCAAGCATGTGATTATTGGAGTCTTTACGAATTAAAGGAAGATAACCATCAACACTAAGATCACAAGATGGGACAGCCGAACTCAAATTAGTCTCACAAAGAGCAAGTAGGTCTGGTGAACTTTGCAAGAGATAAGACTCAACAGAAGAAAAGTTACTTCGAAGACCACGAATATTAGTAAATGATAGGTTTAGAGAACTTGGTGGTGACAATGGTTTTTTGTGTTTTTTAGTTTTAGGTACTTTAGTCATTTTAAATTTATAAAGAACTTGACTCAAGTATAGATAGTACTCAGTACACTATTTAACAACTAAGCAATAGCCTCATTACTATTAATAAACCCTAAGCCGTAACAAAGGGCTCCAAATGTGGCCTCTGCAATGCACACCAAAAGTACAAACAGGGACACCATCCAAGCGCAACAAGGCACTGTTAGTACTCTGATATTTTTCGGCTGTTGATGGAATCAGCCTCTCTGAGAGCTACCACAGAGTTTGGGAAACCTGACTACCAGCCGGCCTCAGAACCATAAAACTGAGTTTTAGAGCTGTACCCTTATTAGGAAATAATAGAATGAGTTGCCCAGTCATAAAAATAGAGACACAAGCAATACCCACGCATTGAGTCAAGAAGATCCAGCGTTCAACATCCTAAACTGGAAACAATGTATTAAAAACACATCTGCGCCAGCCTAATAGATGAGGAAGGGGTGCGAGGCTGGTCAACAGATAGAATCTGTTTACTCCTTAAGTCTTTGCCTAGGAGGCCTTCTACAAGACAGCAGCTGGATGCATGTAACATCTGCCCAAGATGAGTATTTTTATCGAGACACCATCTCTAGCCTTTACTCAACCAAGAGCCCCAAGGCAGGGGGTGTTTTAATTCGGAGTTAACTTCTCCTAGCCTTTGCCTAAAAAAGCGTATCCTACAAGGCAGCAGGACATGGAGCAGGTTGTACTGGGTTACATGTTACCAGTAGCAGGAAAACCTGACCTGACCTTGATTTTAATTACTTAATATATGTATCTTAAATATGATTTTTTTTTTCAGTTTCAACAACATGTATTAATTATACAATAATCTTTTTCAAGTAAACTTGAAAATGATTATTGTATAATCAAAACATGTTGTTGAAACTGAAAAAAATTGTTATATTTATTAGACTTATTACAAAATTTATGCTATCACGACCATTTGGTAATTTAATACTTAATATATATATATATATATATATATATATATATATATATATATATATATATATATATATATATATATATATATATATATATATATATATATATATATATATATATATATATATATATATATATATATATATATATATATATATATATATATATATATGTGCCTATTCTAGGAAAAAAATTTGGGCGGTGGTACCCCTTTGCTTCAGCAGATTTTAGCAGAAAATTTGCATTTTTTCGCAAAAAAATAATATTTGCCTTAAAAAAAAAAAAGAAGGTCCTCAAATTTTAATTTGGGCAGCACCCAAATATGATTAACATTTTCGAAAATATTCTAGAATAGCCCATATATGCTATGTATATATATATATATATATATATATATATATATATATATATATATATATATATATATATATATATATATATATATATATATATATATATATATATATATATATATATATATATATATATAATCATGCATTATATTAAATAGTAGAGTATTTGCTTAAATTGGTAATATTTGAACAAAAAAATTACAAATATGTTAAATACCTTTCATCCCATGACGCAGAATATGTTCAATTATAACAAAAAAATGCAATAATGGAGAAAAATCGTCAGTGAGAACTCTTCCAGTTTTTGCTGATAAGGAACTTTCTATTAAAGTTTTGACACAAATTTTTGCTATATTTAGCAGATTTGATCTCTCAATTTGCCATTTCCGCTCAGATAATTCTGTTGGCCATGAGGAAAAACTTCCAGCTTTTTTTGATCCACCACCAGTATCTGTCACAACAATAGAATCATAATCTTCATCAGCCATTCTTTTTTTATATATTAAAAAACAAACATTTTTGCTATAAAAAAAATAATAAGACACAATACATACAAAAAAATAATAAACAGTAAATAAAAATCTCTTGTTTACTATTATATCTATTTTACATTGATAACTTTATTAGTGTTGATAATAAAAAGTAATAATACCAACTCCACCACTACCAACAAAAATAACAACAAAAACAACAACGACAAAAATAACAACAACAACAACAACAACAACAACAACAACAACAACAAAAATAAAAACAACATGTTATCATGTTATCAAGTGTTGTGTTTTGATTATTTTAGATTATGTTTTTATGTTTTGATTATTATGATTATGTTTATTTTAGAGTAGAAAAACTTATAAGAATTAAAATATTGTAGTTCTTTATACAAGTGCTTCAATTTTCTACTCTTATCAAAATAAAATATGGATAGAGCTCAAAGACCTTCTCGTTTGGATACATTACCGAACTCACCTAGGCAACAAAATTATTTAAACATTGGCTCAGAACATTTGAATATTATCTTGATGAACTCCCTCAAGAACTCAATAAGTTAAAAATCCTGACTAATTTTGTTGTGCCCGATGTTTATGAAATAATAAGCGAATGTCCAAATTATGAAGCAGCAATACAAGCTTTACAATCTGTGTACATCAAACCATCAAATGAGGTTTATGCACGACACCTCTTGGCAACTCGTAAGCAACAGCCAGGAGAAAGTTTTGATGAGTATTTACACGCTCTTAAAGTTTTAGCAAAAGAATGTAACTTTAAACAGGTGTCTGCTATTGAATATCGCGATGAATATATTAGAGATGCATTTATAACAGGGATAAATTCACAGGTTGTCAGGCAGCGACTACTAGAAAACAGTACAATAAGTCTGGATGAAATATTTTCAAAAGCTAGAACCTTGGAACCAGCGCAGAAAAATGCTGAAAATTACCTCCGGTATAATACATCAGATACAACAGTAGCTGCAATAACAAAAAAGCCAAAGCAATTTAACTCAAATTCTGTTTCAAATTGCTGGAACTGTGGGAATCAAAGACATGCTAAATCTGTCTGTCCAGCTAGAGAGTCGATTTGTTTTAAATGTGAGAAAGTTGGTCATTTTGCCAAGTTATGTAAATCTTCTAAACTTACAACAGCAGGTATGAATCTTGTTGATCAACCTTTAAACTCATACAATCCTTCACTCACTTGACTAGACTACTCTGAACATAAAACTAATTTAAAGAACATTTCTGCTTCCATTTCACCTTTGACTAAATCAACAATTGGCATGTTGGTTAATGGTTCATTCGTAAATGCTCTCATTGACAGTGGTAGCACTGATAGTTTTATTCACCCTCGATTGGTACAAAAACTAAACCTAACAGTTCATAGACAAAACCAAAAACAGGTATCTATGGCTTCATCATCTTTATCTAGTACAGTTTGTGGAGTAGTTTTTGTCAATATTTCAATAAAAAATGAGCATTATAAACTAGTAAAACTTAACATCTTAAATGAGTTATGCATGGATGTTATTCTGGGTCTCGATTTTCAAAAACAACACAAAGCTGTAACCCTTAAGTTTGAAGGAAAAAGACCCCCACTATTAATTTGTGGTTTGTCGAAGTTGAATGTATCTCCCCCTAGTTTATTTGGCAATTTATCGCCTAACTGTAAACCAATAGCTTCAAAATCTTGTCGATATAGCAAAGAAGACCAATTATTGATTGAAATGGAAGTACAACGTATGCTTAAAGAGGACATTATCGAACATTCCAATTCTCCCTGGAGAGCTCAGGTAGTTGTAACTAAAGGAGAACGCTCTAAGAAAAGATTAGTTATTGACTACAGTCAAACAATAGATAAGTATACTCAACTAGACGCTTACCCATTACCAAGGATTGATGATCTAGTAAACAAAATTGCTCAATACAAAATATTTAGTACAGTTGATTTGAAATCAGCCTACCATCAAATTCCAATTACCAAAAATGATAGAAAATTTACAGCTTTTGAAGCAAATGGGAGGTTGTTCCAATTTAAGCGAATGCCTTTTGGAATTGAAAATGGGGTTGCTTGTTTTCAACGTACCATAAACGAATTTATAGAAAAAGAAGGACTTTTAGATACTTATGCTTATCTAGATAATGTGACAATATGTGGTAAAACTCAAGAGGAGCATGATCTTAATCTGGAAAAATTTCTCAAGTCAGCTAAAAATATAAATCTTACTTATAATCATGATAAATGTAGCTTTTCCCAAGATAAAATTTGCATTCTTGGTTATCTTATAGAAGAAGGAAAACTCAAACCAGATCCCAGTCGTCTTCAACCTATGAAAGAAATGCCTCCTCCTCATGATGCTAAATCCATCAAGCATATCATCGGACTATTCTCATACTACTCTAAATGGATTCCAAACTTTTCCGATAAGATAGCTTCTCTTACCAAAAACACCAAGTACCCATTTGATCATCAGTGTGTAAATGATTTCAATCAACTTAAACAAGACATTGCAAATGCTGTGACAGATTATGTGGACGAAAATGTTCCATTTGAAGTAGAAACGGATGCATCTGACATTGCTATAGCTGCAGTTCTTAATCAAAATGGCGGCCCTGTAGCTTTCTTTCTTATCTTCGAAAAGCAACATAAATCAAAGATTAAAAATGATAAAATTTATCGATGGAAAATTGAAATATCGTTTCGTTGGAATATTTAGTTTCCCTTCGTTTTACAGGGAAGGGAAACTAAATATTCCAGCTGACACATTTTCTAGAATAGATTGCTCAGCAATAAACACTAACAACTTAATTCAGCTTCATCAATCACTCTGTCATCCTGGAGTAACTAGGTTTTATGCTTTTATTAAAAACCGTAATTTACCTTTCTCAATTGATGATGTTAAACGAATAACTAATCAGTGCAAACTATGTTGTGAATGTAAGCCTAGATACTACAAACCACTAAAATCTAATTTGATAAAGGCGACACAACCACTGGAACGTTTGAACTTAGATTTTAAAGGACCTCTTCCTTCAGAAACTAATAACAAGTATTTTTTAACCATAATTGATGAGTATTCTCGTTTTCCTTTTGCAATCCCGTGCCCTGATATTTCAGCTCAGACTGTAATTAAGTGTTTGTCACAAGTATTCTCGATTTTTGGTTAGCCAAGTTACATCCATTCCGATAGAGGTTCAGCCTTCATCAGTAAAGAATTAAAACAATACTTACTAGAGAAAAGTATTGCGACAAGTCATACTACAGCATATAATCCACAAGGGAATGGACAAGCCGAAAAGTATAATGGAACTATAATGAAGTTATTGAGATTGCTACTAGACAACACAATTTACCCATCAAAGCTTGGCAAAAAGTATTGCCAGACGTTCTCCATTCTATAAGATCCTTAGTAAATACTAAAACAATGGAGACACCTCATGAAAGAATGTTTAAGCACCTTCGTAAAACAGCCTCTGGATGCACTTTACCTTCATGGTTAAGTCATCCTGGACCAATACTAATGAAAAGACATTTACGTAATAATAAGTATGAACCACTGGTAGACGAAGTGCAACTCATAGATGCTAATCCTCAATATGCTCACATAAAGTATCCAGATGGAAGAGAAACCACAGTTTCCCTAAGACACTTAGCTCCAACAAGTTCTGCTCCGATCATTGATCAAACAAACCATATTGAACCTTCACCAGAGAATGCCTTTAATAATATTAAACCTTCACCAGAGAATGCTTTTAATAAACCTTTTTACCCCTATAAACCATTAACACCTGAGAAATATGGACTTACCAATACCAATCCTGAAAATTTTCCTAACCAGCCTCCCCTTTATCAACCTCCGCCAGCTGAAAATCTTGTCAATGATGCTTGTCCGATCAATCCATTGTTATTAATAACACCTGGAAAAGACACACGTAGATCCTCAAGAGCAATTCGTCAACCATTACGACTTATAGAAGAAGATACATGAAAAACCTTGTTTGTATTATAGTATATTCTGTTTGTATTATGGCTGCAGAGAATGTTGTGTTTTGATTATTTTAGATTATGTTTTTATGTTTTGATTATTATGATTATGTTTATTTTAGAGTAGAAAAACTTATAAGAATTAAAATATTGTAGTTCTTTATACAAGTTCTTCATCAAGATGTTGTCATATATATTCTGAAAATAAATTTTCAAGGCTATTTACAAGTAGCATTGAAATGCTAATCTCAAGTAAATAACTGAAAAAAAAATTTATATATATACAATTAATCTTAGTAATAATAATATTAATAATAGTAATAATAATATTAATAATAGTAATAATAATAATAATAATATCAACAATAAAGTAATTATAATAATTTAAACAAATCGGTATTACTTTCCATACAGCAATCATTTTTACTTACAAAGTTACAGTTACAAACAGTAATAAACTGACAAACATAACAACTAACGATGACATAAAAACAACTATTGCTAAAAAAAATTATAAAGATTTAGCAAATATATTAATATATTCATAGTTGTTAAAATATAATAATCAAAATATATTGCAAATACTATTACCAAATAAATAAATAAAATGTAAACAGAAAAACACTGAGAAAATCAAAACAAAACAAGTTACAACAAACATTACGAAACAAAACAAAAAACTATGCAAATAAACAAAACAATCAACAACAACAACAAAAAAAAATTAAAAAAAAGTAATAATAATAATACACGGTAGAATTAAACATATATAATAAATGGCTAAAATGTAAATAAAAACAACTAATATATAACTGTATAAAAATTTATATACAAAAAAAATAAATAATAACTAAAAAACAAACAAATGACTAACAAAAAATAATAAGTAAAACTATATACGCTAAAAAATTGACAACAACAACAACAACAATAACAACAACAATAGCAATAATAACAATAGTAATAAAAAATAATTTTAACATTATTTCAATATTTTATTTATTTTGTTGTTTTAAAGTAGATACTACTTTTGCTTGTATAATTTACATAACACACATTCCCTCGTAAAACTTGTTTATAAAAATAATTGTTTAAAGTAAACGGATGAAATTATTGCATTTTGAATTGTAGTCAATTTTTTTTTACAATGGCTTAAATGTCCGACATTAATTGAAGACTTTAATGACAAAATTATCCGACAGGCGGACATAAATTTGTCGATGCCTCGTGCTCGATGCATCGAACATACAATTTATCGTTAAACGATGCAGCTCGTTAAACAATGCATCGAAAGAATAAAAATAAAACATAAAACAGCTAGATTTAAAAATAAAATTTTATTTAGTTATAGTTATTTGCTATTAATCATCTACAAATATGGCAAAAGAAATTTTACAAAAAATAAAAAGAAAATTTTTTCGGGAAATTAGTCAAACTATAAAATTGTTCACACCATTCATTTTCTTCATCTGTCTCAAGTTTTCCTTTATGTAAACAAGTTTTTCTACTCTAGACCAGACAAATTTGTTCTCCTATCACCACAAATGTTTCCAGCTGTGGAAAACACTTGTTCAGAGCTAGAGGAAGCTGCTGGAATTACCAATGTTCACTTGGCGAAGCGGGCAAATTTTGGATACTTAAAAGATTGGTTCTTCCAGTAACGAAGTATATCCTGATTATCGGCAATTGCTGTTGTTGTTAAATAGCTTTCTAACTCTGCCTTAATCTCCTCTTTCAAAGAGGTGCTTCCTTCCGGGTTATTAACCACTTTTCCAAAAGTTTGGATCTTCAAACTCTTGCAAGACCTTCTTACGTATCCAACTGTTGTTTTTTCTTGAGGCTGTGTGGGTGTCTGTATCATTATATCTCTATTTCATCAATGAGGTATTGTGATGAGTTGGGTGATGTGGTATTACTAAGTTCCGGCCTTGCACAGCTTCATTCGAAGATATTTTGGTAATTTTGTACCTTTGCCCAATACCATGCAATGTTGATCTTTTGTAACGTGGATCCAACATGTTTGTGTATACGTATTCTAAAACTGTAGCTCCACATTCGGGAAACCAATCATGCATTTTCAACAAGTAATAATCAACGACTTCTTTCATCATGGGATTGGGTGAATCATATGATATTGAATGCAATTCATCTTCAAGATCAAAGAGTTTTGGAATGATACATTATTCCGTCGTTTAATAAACGATGGACCAAGGCGTCACGGAAAGTGGACGCTTTTTTATCTAACAACAGTAGTTGGTTAGATTCGGAATATAGTGTATTTTTACCAAAATCGAAAAACGCAGTAACAGATCCCACGCCATCTACATCATTTGAAAAACGTGGAAGACCGTGCTTGTCTTATGGAGATTTGTCAGAGACCAGTAAAAAAAGAAAAATTCCACATTAGTTAAGGAAATTGGATTCGAGCATATCTTTCATGCATATCTCTATTCAATAGAAGAAGAAACAGGAGCAAAGATTGTAGAAGCATTAAGGATTGTCGAAAAAGAAAAAAAGGTCTCTGTCTCAAGTTTTATGGAAAACACAAACGTTTTACTGACAGATGAAGAAGCACTCAGCGTGTTTGTTGATTTAGATTTAACTAAAGCACAACATTTATACTTGAGGAAGTTGACAGACGAAAAAAACTGTTTCTTATTTTCACTGTATTACAAGTTGCTAGAAATTAAACAAACTTGCTATCCACCATCTTCTGCAATAGAAATTACAAACACACATGCAAAAATTTATAGAACTGCAAGATTTATTGGATCACACTGTAGATAGAATTTTGACTATAGATTCGTATACAATAAAAAATTTAAACAATTAATTTTGTATAGTAACTGGGGTTGTGATGGCTCCTCTGGCCAAAGCGAGTACAAGCATAAACTTCCGATAGAATCTGAACTTATTTCTGATGCGAATTTATTTATTAGTTCTTTGGTACCGATCAAATTAGTTGATGAAGTAACTGGCACAATTGTTTTGCAAAATCCGGCTCCTTCGTCTGAACGTTTTTGTTGACCTATATGCATAGAATTTTGCAAAGAGACTCTTGAGAAAACTAAAATTGTAGTAGATGAAATAAAAAGCCAAATATACTCTTTACAGCCATCTATAATTAACAAAATTTGTAAAGGAATACAAGTAAACATGAATTTTTTTAAACAATGATAGATGGAAAAGTGGCTCAGGTATTAACGGATACGCCTTCTGCGTCTACATGTACAATATGTGGAGCTACTCAACGACAAATGAATGTTTGACTAAAGTGTCTGCTAGGCCTGAAAATGAAAGTTCGTATCAATATGGACTGTGGACATTACTTGTCTGGATTCGGTGTATGGAAATGATATTACATATTTCCTACAACCTGTCTTTCCAAACATGATCTGCTAAAAATGAAAGAAAAAAACGAAAAAAAAAACAGAAGACCTTGATACAGAAGTGTTTTTGTGAGCAGCTAGCGTTAATCGTCGACAAACCAAAACAAGTAAATGGTAGTACCAATGATGGTAATACTACTAGGAGATTTTTTTACAATGCAAGCTGCTCTTCTGAAATCACTGAAGTAAATGAAAATTTGATTAAGCGACTTTACATAATTCTACAAGCGCAGTCATAGCAATGTATGCTGCGTTGGTGGTCTTATTGGTCCACAGATCAGGCGTTAATAATGTTTCATCCAAATGAGGCTTGTCTTCATTAAATATTTTATTAACTGCTGCCTTCATTGCATTGTATAAATCTGGTATTTCGCTACGTGAAACTGTCCTTGAAGAAATCGGGTTATACTGTCCTTTTGTACATATTTTCACATAGTATTTAAATTCATTGTTGTCAACTACATCAAAAGGCAGCATGGCACTTGATAGAAGAGGACTCAAGTTGCTTCCTTGCTACTAGCCTTTCAAAGCTGGATTTGTGCTTTGTCCTAACATGGCCTATCATCCCTGTTGTGCTCCCACAAGGAACCTTATATTCCTCGCCACATTCAATGCAGATAGCTCTGTTTTCATTAATCTTGGTGAAATAATCCCAAATTAAAGAAACTTTCGGCATCTAGATGTAAAAAGAAAAATAGTTTAGCTACATTGTATATGGTTTCTATTATATGGTTTGCATTAAACAATCTATCTATATATTTATCTATCAATCATTAAACCAACGAATCTATCGTCGTAAATCATACATCTAAAATCATGCTACATCTAAAAAAAATATTTTAAATAAAAAGCCTGCCTTGTTGATTTTAGCTACAATATTGTAGTAGAAAATAACAATATTGCAGTAGAAAATAATTGCTGATATTTGTTTTTTGAATGACTTAAAAATTTAAAATGAGAAATATTTATGTTTCTTACTAATAAGTGCCTTAATAGTGTGCCGTATTTATAAAGCGTTTAAGAGTCATTTTTTTGTAAGAATCAGGCAGTCAATGGAAGTGACCTCCTCCAAATTGCTTGAATTTTTTATATATTGATCAGAATATAGAGAAAACCTGTTGGGGAAAAAAAAATTTTTCAAAAATGTTTCGTTCACTCGGAATCTGGGCTTAAATTTTTGAGATTTTTTAAAAAATTTTTAGAAATTTAGTTTTTGCCACCTTTGAACCCATTTTTTTGGCAAGGCAAAAAGTTGCACATAGCTTTTGTAGTTAATATCAGACGTAACTCAAAAGCTCTCTCCAAAAAATATTAAAAAGTTGCGTGACACTGTGCGGTTGGCTATCATAGTTCAAAAGTACAAAATCAATCAGTTTTGTCAATTTTTAATCGGAGTTAATTCTAGCGGCGAAATGTTGCACACAATTTTTCTTTTAGGATTTGAAATTATCAAAGGTATTGAGTCTAAAAATGCAAAGAAAGTTATGTGATACCTAATGCCTATTAATATATTAAGGCTTGAAATTGGAAAAAAATGTTATAGTATACTTACAAAATGAGCTATTACGGCAGAGGCGCTAAGTTTTGTAAAAATATAATCATGTTAAATGGTCAATATAAGATGAGCCTAACATAGCTTAAAAAAAAACTCATGTGATCTTTAGATATTAAGTTAAAATAAAGGTACAAATTGTTAAAAATGATTAAGTACGAAGAGATATTTTTTTGGACACACAGATGAGGTTTTCGCTCACAATAAAATTTCTATCATCCAAAATTAGCAATTAGCATTACACAAAACATTGCACGTAATGTTAAGAAAAAATTTAAGCGTTTCTGACTATGATATAGAAATCATAACAATTGAAATAAATAATAATAAAAAACATTACATGATCAGAAGTGAATTATTTAAATTTACGTCATAACCAAATAACTTGTGGTGATCGAATGGAAGAAGAATCGCTGATATCACGATTGTGGAGAAACAAGTTAGTGGGCGGTTGTTAACTTTACCATAAAAATGTCTTAACTTTATTTTAACGATCTTTAAAATTTGCATAAATAGATCTTTAAAATTTGCATAGATATTTTATCATTGCTATTGAGAAATAGGTACTGCATAAATAGAACTTGTTTTTAGTTGAGTATGGAACAAAACAAATATTTTTATGAAAACTGTTGTTGTTTTTCAAAAGGAAATTGTGGATCATTCAAAAAACATAAAATTATAAACAAAATGGTCTACATTCATCAGCTGGGAGATGTTGATGTTAAGAAACACCTCATCAACTTAAAGTTAATTATGTATTTTAAATTTACGAAGACTGTAATATAATTTTTATAATTACATACTTTATAACTTCTCTGCAATATGATTTTGAGACAAAGTTCTTTAAATAAAAAAAAATAGCTCTTTTAATTAATTCCTCACTCTTTTAATAAATAATCACTAAATTAATCACACTCTTGCAATATTGTATTTTAATAATAACAACAATGTATTTCAAACTTGTAAACATTTTTCGTGAAGAGTCAGATTATAAACAATGCTTTAAATGACACACTTAATAATTGTTTAAAAAATTGTTTTAGGTCATGCGATTAAACAATAATAATATTTGGGAAGAAAATGGACTTATTGCAAATAGACTTAAAAGAAATCTTGAAAAGGATGAACAAATATGTGCTTTTCACCGGTACACGTTTGGTATTGCATGGAGTCCTCCAAAAACATGCTTTCATCCTCACCATCTAAATATAAAAGGAAAAAAATCTCCCGCTTTAAGGGCGTCACCAATACATGTCGTCATATCAATGTCAAAGCGATACAATGAAGTATTTTCAGTTAATGCAATGCTGTGTTTTACCCATTTAAAGCAAGAAACTGCTTTATCTAGAGTCAACGAAAACACCAATTTATGTACAGAAACACAAACACAACAAGAACAAACATATATGACACCTGCTACTCCAGATGAAGAATTTGATCCCGGTGAAATTAATGTTTCACAGGAGATTTTGGACGAATCTCTAAGAAGCCGTGAGAGTGTAACTGAGGTTCTCAATGCAAGTCCAATAAAATTTAGATTAAAAAGGAAGTTCGAATATCTGGAAGATACTACTAAAGATAAGTTAAAACGCAAGTATGTTCGCCTAGAAAAATTATTAAAGAAAAAATTTGCGGAAGCTGTTGCTCCTGGACAAGAGGAAATACTTATAGATTTTCTTAACAGTAAAAATGTTGATGAAATAAATAGCCCTCACCCAATTGAAATTATTCGTGCTCAGAAAGTATATAAGCAAAGTGATTCCATGGGAAAGTTAGTTATCCTATCATTATTAGACCATACCAAGTATACCAAAAAATTTATAATGAACACATTTGAGTGTACCAAACATTGTATAGAAACAGCAAGAAAATGGCATGCAGCTCATAAAGGGTTGGCATTTCCAGAAAAGAAAGTATTCGTCCGATCTAGTCTTGATCAAACAAAGTGTGAACATTTCTTAGACTTTATATTTACAAGCGGTATTTTGCATGATGTTGCTTATGGAATAACCAAATTAAAATACGACAGCGGTGAAGAACAAAAGATAGTGCATGCAATACTGACGACAAAATATAGCCACGCTATCATGTTCTATCGAAAAAGTTGTAGTGAAAACAATTATATACCATTATCTGATTCAAGTTTGTGGAAAGTATTGCATGCAATAAAACCTTCAAGTCGAAAAAGCTTAGCTGGATTAGATGATGTTACTGCTTCAGGCATGAATGGTTTTCAAAAATTACAAAAATTGGCACAAAGATTTAGTTCTAAATCTCTCGAAGCTGCCCTTGAAAAAGGAAAAAGGTATTTAAAAACAAGTTATCAAACCAATTGTAGTGTCAATGACTCAAACATTTCTTCTCATAGCTCAAAACATGCCTTATCAGATCCATCTGAAAAAAATCTTCAATCCAAGACAAAGATATCAGAAGTGGTATGTGTCGATTGCTATGATTTGTGCAAAGCTATCGAGATGATCAAAGAACTAACAATTCAAAATTCTGACGATGCTGATTCTATTTATGATTTGGAAATTGCTGTAAAGGATGTATTCAACTACATAAAACACCTGATGAGAGATTCTCAACAGAAAAAGGCAAAAATCAAAGCTTTTAAGCAATTAAACGATGAAACTGCTTTCTGGCTTAAAGATTTTTGTCAAAAAATTCTTCCGGTTCGATACAGAGAGGGTCAAAGAGAGTATTTTGGCAAGAAAGGAATGAGTTTACATGTGGATATATTCTTCATAAAAATAGCAGGAAAGTTATTCAAACGTGTTTACTTTAATTCAATGTATAGGTGTGATCAGGGAATAGGTGATGTTGTTTTGTTAGCCACTGCAGTTTTAGATCAATTCAGAATTGATCAACCGCATATCAAGAAAATGTTTACCAAATCTGATAATGCCGGCTGCTATCAGGGAAATCTTTCAGCTGAAGCAATCTACAATGTATGCAAAGAGAGAGATATAAAGTTGCTGAGATATGATTATAATGAACCCTGTTGTGGAAAAGATCAATGTGACAGGGAGAGTGCAGTTGTAAAGACAATTTTAAGGAGTTACGTTGAATCTGGTAATAATCTTTTGACTGCTGAAGATATACACAAGGCTATGCATTATAGTCTTGGCGCTAAAGATGCAAAAGTAGCAGTTGCTCAAATTAGCAATGATAAAACTGTAGTTACTGGACCAAAGATTAAGAACATTAGCAACTATCACTCATTTGAGTTTGGTGAGAAAAGTATGAAGATGTGGCGTTATTTCAATATCGGTGAGGGAATTGAACAAGAGTATGGAAATCTTAAAATTCAACCCTCGATTAATTTGTTGTTGCCATATAGCAAAACAGATAATTCAATTAAGCGTAACAAATCACTTAAGGAAAAACAGAAAAGAAGTGACAGGCAATTATATTCATTAAGATTTTGCACTGAAATGAATTGTACTTTATCATTTGAAAGCGATGCTGAGTTAGAAGAACACATGCTATCCGGTCTTCATACAGTTCCGAAATCATTAACATCATTGGATAAAGTTCGCAACTCGTTTGTTCATAAGATGAAAATTATTTCACAACTAAATATGCCAATTTCTTCATCCTCTAACTTCACAACTAAATATGCCAATTTCTTCATCCTCTAACAGTGCTTCCGTAAAAGACAAACCACATTGCATGAAGATTTTTCTATTGCAAGGTTGGGCATTACCAGTTCGAAGTTCTTTTAGATTTTCAAATCAGCAGAAAGAACTCTTGTATAAATACTTTATTCATGGAGAAGAATCAGGTAATAAAATGAGCCCTGAGCAGGTTCACATGCAGCTGAGGAGAAAACTTCCGCCTGATCAATATGTAACTAGCCAACAGATAAGATCTTTATTTTCAAGGTAGGCATTGTTGCTATCAAAACTTTTGCAAATTAGATTATGCTTCTGACTGTTAAATAGTTCTTTTACAAATATGAAATTAAAATTTAGGTGAAAGTTATAATTTTGTGTGTTTGTTTCCAATGTTTAAAAATATGTACAATTGATATTGTTATAGATTTAGTAACCTGAAAAGAAAAGGTAAGCTGGTAGAACCGACAACAGAAAATAATGAAAATAGTCAGGTTAACGATAACAAAGAAGTTTATGGCGAAAATGATGACTTTAATCTGACAGGAGACAATGAAGATGATAATAAATATGACGAAGACATCGCCAATCTTGCAAAAGAAATTTGTCTAGTATGGAAAGTGAATGATTGGGTTGCTGTTGCATATGAAAAACAATGGAATATTGGATATATTGTGGAGGTAATATTATTCAAAGTATATATTAGTTTCAAGTTTTTATTTTGTTTTACAAAACAGTGCTCTAAAATAAAAGGAATATAAATAAAATGTAAAAATAATTTCAAAATGACATTATATAAGACTTTTCAAGTTTTATTGAATGTAAGCAAAATTAAACAAATCATAAACTCTTTATTATATTATTTTAAATGTTGCGCTAATACTTTTAGGTATCTATAACTGGGATCAGAGTTAATTGTATGATTAACGGGCAAGAGAAGAATACTTTTCGCTGGCCAGTTACTACCGAGGAGATAAATAACCAAACTGATAAAATTATCTGTTTAGTAAATGCTCCTTTTTTAATCAGTGGTTGTGGCGATTATTCATTATCCGAAGAAGACTATAATACAGTCATATCATTATTCTTAGAGAAACTTACTGCAGCAGAGTAGAAATTATGTGTGATGTGGTGGATAATGTATGTAAATGACTCTATTAATAAATGAAAAACTAATTTTTAAATGGAAAAACATTTAAATGTTTGATTTATGTTTTATTTAATTAGCAATATAGTTATCTTGATGTTAGATTTTTGTTCAGTTTTTAATTCATGTTATATCATGCGTGTGACAAAATCACACGAATTTTTTTTATTATTATGTTAGGACCTTTTTGTATTGACAGTTGGATATGTTTACATTTTTACAAAACTTAGCGCCTCTGCCGTAATGGTTCACTTTATAAGTATACTAAAACATTTTTTTCCAATTTCAAGCCTTAATATATTAATAGGCATTAGGTATCACATAACTTTCTTTGCATTTTTAGACTCAATACCTTTGATAATTTCAAATCCTAAAAGAAAAATTGTGTGCAACACTTCGCCGCTAGAATTAACTCCGATTAAAAATTGACAAAACTGATTGATTTTGTACTTTTGAACTATGATAATTAGCCAACCGCACAGTGTCACGCAACTTTTTAATATTTTTTGGAGAGAGCTTTTGGGTTACGTCTGATATTAACTACAAAAGCTATGTGCAACTTTTTGCCTTGCTAAAAAAATGGGTTCAAAGGTGGCAAAAACTAAATTTCTAAAAATTTTTAAAAAAATCTCAAAAATTTAAACCCAGATTCCGAGTGAACGAAACATTTTTGAAACTTTTTTTTTTCCCCAACAGATTTTCTCTATATTCTGATCAATATATAAAAAATTCAAGCAATTTGGACGAGGTCACTTCCACAGTTTCAGGAATTTGCCTGATTCTTAGAAAAAACGGCTCTTAAGTCAACGATTTACGATTAGCAATAAATTAAACGATCTATATAATTTAACGATTTACGATTAATATATACATTATACATAATACATTAGACAATCTATTATCTTAAAATTATTAATACATTAGGCAATCTATTTACTTTTTCCGAAAAAGTAAATAGATTGCCTAATTTTAGTAAAATTTAATGTAATGATAATCCTGAAATTAATAGATTGTCTAATGTATTATTACCCGGAAAAAGATTTTCTTATGTCGAAGGTAAAGGCATCGTAAGGAATATAATCAGAAATCGAAAAATAACTAATTTAAGTAATTAAACACCATTTTATAATCTTTCTTTTTTATAACACATCGTTAATCGTTCTGGTACATTTTTGTTCTAATTGCTTTCGATATATGAGTTGTTCGATACATCGAACACGATGCATCGACGCATCGTTAAACGATACATCGCCGCTCCCTACTTATAAAGTTTGTTTACGTTTTATACGTCTTTGTAGAGTTTTTTTGATTGTTTTTAATAAAGCTTGTTTTGTAACAAGTATAAATAAGTACACGAAATTTTGTAACTTTACTTCTTTCGTAGACAATAATAAGTTTTAAAGTAAAATAATGGTAGTTTTAAATAATTAAAATTAAATGCGATCGAATTTCGAGTTACCAATGTAAAGATTTTCAGCTAAATTTTGCCCCTTTCAATTCGACACCCTGGACGATCAAACCAGGTCCTACCCTAACGCCACCACTCTATGTAGGGGAAGTGGGGGCATAACCGCCCCCGTAACATTTGGATTAATTTTAAGTGAAAATAAAAGCAAAATGTATTTTTTAAACAGTTATTTTATTTCAATAACCACATCATTAAGCTTTAAATTGATGCAATTAAGAGAAAAATTAAACGATTTTTGAAAAAATTATTTCACAAAAATTCCACTTAGTAAAAAAAACGGTTTTGCCCCCATTGTGAAGCACAACCGCACCCTCACAAAAATCGTTGGGAGTGTACTTTGCATGGAACATTTTCTTTACGTCACAGCTCAGATTATTTGCTGATTATTTTAGTTTTGTACAAAAACTCATTTATGAAAATTAAACAAAAAAATAAAAAATCTAATTTCCAACATCTTAAAACAAAACTATTTCTAATCAAGTTTTTACATGAACTCATTCAAATGTGACGGTTATAATTATTGTTATTCGTAAATACCTAACTTTGATAAACATCAAAAATATGCGGTGGTGCCTCCTGCGCGTCTATGCGGTTCTGCCCCAGAGGACAACTTTTAGAAAAAATGCAGTTTCATAGCTTGCTTATTAGGCAATGTGGATATCAAAAATGGTTTTCACTTGATGAAATAATGCGGAAAACACATATTTTTAACACTAAAATCAAATATTGCTTAATCCTTAAAAAAAGGTCTGCAAAAACATGATGTAAATATAATATTTTTATCAAAATAAACATTATTATACACAACTTAGAAACGTAACAGGCACTCATTTTGACATAAGCGAAATCTTCCCCTATATATATATATATATATATATATATATATATATATATATATATATATATATATATATATATATATATATATATATATATATATATATATATAATATATATATATATATATATATATATATATATATATATATATATTAGGTTGCTCTGAAAAATTATAAGTCAAAATTTGTTAGCTCCCTGGATATTTTCCCATTCTTTTCATCAAAAAATATAAGAAAAATCATACTATAAGATTTAGAAACAACAGTAAGCCTTGCCACCACAAAGAAAACGTTTTTCATATTATTTAACATTGAAAGTACTACAAAAAAACTGCAACATGAAAAATATAACAATTTTTTTTTCAAAATTTAGAAAAGCTGTTGATATGTTTATTCAAACAATGAACATAATGAAAATAGTTCAGTAAGGTTATTTTATAAGATTTAAATATGCTAAATTAGTTCTGATGCCTCTAAGAAAAAAACAGTTTTTAAATATTTCCCAAGGTTCCTTTTTTAAAATCTGGTACTTTGTGTCTGTGTTTTTCAATAATCTGTAACAAATATTGTTTCTGTATTTCATCTTTTAGTTAAAGTGTTTGCAAAGTCTGCGATGAGTTTCAAGGCTCTTTCAGCAAGATCATTAATAACTTTTACGTGAAGAATAAACATTGCTGCTATTGAAAATCACTACTTGTTTCCCACTGTGCCAATCAAATGTACTGATTTTGTGGATGAACCCAACTGTGGAAAAACTGATACTCCTTTATCCAGTGGCATGTCTTTCTTTACTTTGATAAGTTGTCTGGCTATTTGTTTCTTTTCCAATTCTGGCACCAAACTTGAAAAAAGAGAAAAAGTAGCAGTTTCTTCGGTCAGATACCACAGATGCCTGTTAAGTGCAAGAATGGTCGCTTCACCAAACTCTGGGTCAGATTTCTTTAACATGTAAAGATCATAGTATAACTGGAGATCATTTGATGGTGCATCGGCTGCAAAGGGGTGGCTAGCCACGCTTTTACGTAGAAGAGTGCATTAAATATGCATATACGACGCAGTTTCTCCATTTTATCTTGATCATAATTCAGCTGGTCACTAAAGGCATACATCTTAGCACTATATATAACAGTTTCCATCCATCGGGCATGATGGTTTGCACCAGATTTTAGCCAGTGCACCCCACAAGGAGGCATTTCTCCCAAAAGTATTAGCTTGAGTTCTGCACATTCTCTGTAATCATCACGAGGCAAGCTGTCACCGTCAGCTGAAGTCAACAATTGTCGCAAAAAATTAACATCTTTGTCTTTTTCCTGAAAACATTGAAGATCAATCAAATTTTAAATTTTGATTGATCTTCAATGTTTTCCTAAGGTTTCTTAAATTCTTTGAACTCAGAAGTGTCAGGACTGGATGTCGGACCAAAAATCTTTTTTCCAGGCAGAACATAAAATTCTTTCCATTACATGATGTCGACAAGCAAAATAGAAAAGCTTCTTGTCTAGAAATGATTCCAACTGTACACGTGCACCATTTTTCCACCCAGAATTTGATGCTGTAGTCTCAAAAACTAGTCCATCAATTGATTGTTCTACCTTCCACCGAACCACAAGAGAATGGCTGGTGTTACCCATAGTTGCACCAGTTCCATCAGAGATTACTGGAACCCCAAGTAGTTTACCTTCTTTACAGTTTGGAATCCCTGCTATAAGAACACCTAGCCATTTAGCATCCTCTGGAACAATTTTTCCATCCCAATGTAATGTAACGTACTTCGGGGAAACAAACGTAGTATCAATTTCATCCCCATATTTTATTCGAAGTTTTTTAGCCGCTGTTCTGCTGCTTGTTTTTGATAAAGTCACACACTGCAAATCAGCACCACCCTCTGAAGTTATAGCTGCCATTAAAGCTGTTTTTTTACCAGCTGAAAAATTTAACCGATCTGCCATTGCTGAAATTTTTTCACTTTTGAATGGATTGCGTGGAAGAGTTAGTATAATTACTCTGTTTTTATCAGGTTGGATATTTTTTAGTTTTGTAGCAGATTTGTGTGGGTTTTCAAAATCTTCATCTTCAGAATTTTCTGAACTTCTTGTAACTGTGACACTAGAGTCATCTGCAGATTGCGAGTCTACTTCAGGACGTATAGTTTCAGGTTTTGCGCTTGTTGTTGCTGAAAGATTTTTTTTTTTTTTCTTTAACCATTCTTCTTGTCATTTCAATTCTCTCTCTGTATTTTCTGTCTAATTTTCTTTTTGTATGCTCAGTCTTCTGATCCCAAAATAACTTGCTTCTGATCTCTAACTGCCATAAGAAATTCAATATGTTCTTTTTTCTATTCACTATCACGAAGTTGATCAGCTTCTATTTTATTTTAAGCATCTTGGTGAGCAATATAAATATAATTTTTTCAGATCATCAACAAACAGTTTTTCTTTAGCTTCATTAGATTGACATCCTTTTTTCTTTTGAAGTGTTCTATCATACAAATCAAAAATTTTTGCTTTAACCTTGTCTTTGCGTTGAATTGCAATTCCAGCTTTATCCCATTGATTTTGAGTTTCTGTGAAATTGATACTACATTTGTCAAAATGAGTGCCTGTTACAATTATAAGAAGTTGTGTATAATAATGTTTATTTTGATAAAAATATTATATTTACATCATGTTTTTGCAGACTTTTTTTTAAGGATTAAGCAATATTTGATTTTAGTGTTAAAAATATGTGTTTTCAGCATTATTTCATCAAGTGAAAACCATTTTTGATATCAACATAGCCTAATAATAATATATATA